GGTTTAATAGTGAAGATGGTAGGTTTAATAGTGAAGATGGTAGGTTTAATAGTGAAGATGGTAGTTTAATAGTGAAGATGGTAGGTTTAATAGTGAAGAGGATATTTTTAATAGTGAAGATGCTAGGTTTAATAGTGAAGATTGAAGGTTTAATAGTGAAGATGGTTGGTTTAATAGTGAAGATGGTAGGTTTAATAGTGAAGATGATAGGTTTAATAGTGAAGATGCTAGGTTTAATAGTGAAGATGCTAGGTTTAATAGTGAAGATGTAGGTTTAATAGTGAAGAATTAGGTTTAATAGTGAAGATGCTAGGTTTAATAGTGAAGATACTAGGTTTATAGTGAAGATACTAGGTTTATAGTGAAGATACTAGGTTTATAGTGAAGATACTAAATTTAATAATGAAAATGCTAGGTTTATAGTAAAGATGCCGGGAACAATGGGCTAGTAACCCCTTTTCCTGTAAAGATTACTAAAAAGAATTAGAAGAAGAAAATTGTCAAAGTGGGAAGTCTGAATGTGCGTGGATGTTGTGCAAATGATAAGAAAGAGATGATTGTGGATGTTGTGAATGAGAAGAAACTGGATGTCCTGGCTTTAAGTGAAACAAAGCTGAAGGGGGTGGGAGAGTTTCAGAGTTTCAGTGGAGAGGAATAAATGGGATTAGGTCAGGGATTTCAAATAGCTATGGCAGGAAAAGAGGGACTATAAATGTATTAATTCAAGGATTATGTGGAGTAAAATAAAGGTTGGATGTGAAAAGTGGGTTATAGTAAGCGTATATGCGCCTGGAGAAGAGTGAAGTGTAGAGGAGAGAGAGAGATTTTGGGAAATGTTGAGTGAATGCGTGGGGAGTTTTGAACCAAGTGTGAGAGTACTTGAGGTTGGGATTTCAATGCTAAAGTGGTAAAAATGTTATGGAGGGAGTAGTAGGTAAATTTGGGGTTGCCAGGGTAAATGTAAATGGGAGCCTTTAATTGAGCTATGTGTAGAAAGAGATTGGATAATAGTAATACAAATTTTAATGAAAAAGAGATAAATAAATATACAAGGTATGATGTAGCACTAATGAAAGTATGTTTGTTAGATTATATAAATATATATATATTATATATATATATATAATATAATATATATATATATAATATATATATATATATATATATATAGAAATAAATATAATATATATATAATATATATTATAAATATATATATAAATATATATAATATATTAATAATATATATAATATATAATATATCTCCATGGGAAGTGGAACAGGATTCTTCTCCGTAAGCTATGTGACGGTGTATGTAAGAGGGACTAAAATGCCAGAGGGGTAGGGGGCAAGGGGCTAGTAACCCCTCTCCTGTATATATTACTAATGTGAAAGGAGAAACTTTTGTTTTTCCTTTTGGGCCACCCCGCCTCGGTGGGATAACGGCTGGTGTGTTGAAAGAAGAAAGATATATATATATATATATATATATATATATATATATATATATATATATAATATATATATATATATATAATATATATTATATATATATATATATATATATATATATATATATATATATATATATATATATATATATATATATATATATATATATATAATATATATATATATATATATATATATATATTATATATATATATATATATATATATATATATATATATATATATATATATTTGTATGTGTGTGTGTGTGTGTACTCACCGCCTTTTCACTGGTTGCTACTGGGTCCTCTCTCTCCCCGCTCCATGAGCTTTATCAAACCTTGTCTTAAGACTATGTATGGTTCCCGCCTCCACTACGTCACTTTCTAGGCTATTGCACTGCCTGACAACTCTATGACTGATGAAATACTTCCTAACATCCCTTTGACTCATCTGTGTCTTCAACTTCCAATTGTGACCTCTTGTTTCTGTGTCCCCTCCCTGGAACATCCTGTCTTTGTCCACCTTGTCTATTCCGTGCAGTATTTTATATGTCGTTATCATGTCTTCCCTGGCCCTCCTGTCCTCCAGTGTCGTCAGGCTGATTTCCCGTAACCTTTCTTCATAGGACATTCCCCTTAGCTCTGGAACTAACTTTGTCGCAAACCTTTGCACTTTCTCTAATTTCTTGACGTGATTGATCAAGTATGGATTCCAAACAGGTGCTGCATACTCCAGTATGGGCCTGACGTACACGGTGTACAGTGTCTTGAACGATTCCTTACTAAGGTATCGGAACGCTGTTCTCAGGTTTGCCAGGCGCCCATGTGCTGCAGCAGTTATCTGGTTGATGTGTGCTTCCGGAGACATGCTCGGTGTTATACTCGCCCCAAGATCTTTCTCCTTGAGCGAGGTTTGCAGTCTTTGGCCACCTAGCCTATACTCCGTCTGAGGTCTTCTGTGCCCTTCCCCGATCTTCATGACTTTGCATTTGGCAGGGTTAAGTTCGAGAAGCCAGTTGCTGGACTAGGTGTCCAGTCTGTCCAGGTCTCTTTGAAGTCCTGCCTGATCCTCATCTGATTTAATTATCCTCATTAACTTCACATCATCTGCATCATTAGACTTCTGAGTCTAACCCTTCCATCATGTCGTTCACATATACCAAAGACAGCACTCGTCCTAGGACCGACCCCTGTGGGACCCCGCTCGTCACAGGTGCCCACTGTGATACCTCATCACGTACCATGACTCGTTGTTGCCTCCATGTCAGGTATTCTCTGAACCATTGCAGTGCCCTTCCTGTTATATGCGCCTGATACTCTAGCTTCTGCACTAATTTCTTTTGAGGAACTCTGTCAAAGGCCTTCTTGCAGTCCAAGAAGATGCAATCAACCCACCCCTCTCTCTCGTGTCTTACTTCCGTTACTTTATCATAAAACTCCAGAAGGTTTGTGACACAGGATTTGCCTTCCATGAATCCGTACTGGTTGGCGTTTATACTCTCGTTCCGTTCCAGGTGCTCCACCACTCTCCTCCTGATAATCTTCTCTATAAATTTGCATACTGTACACATCAGTGACACAGGTCTATAGTTTAGTGCCTCTTTTCTGTCTCCTTTTTTAAAAATGGAACTACATTTGCCGTCTTCCATACCTCAGGTAGTTGCCCAGTTTCCAGGGATGTGTTGAAGATTGTGGTAAGTGGCAAACACAGCATATCCGCTCACTGTCTAAGGACCCACAAGGAGATGTCCGGTTCCATTGCCTTTGAGGTATCGATGTTCCTTAGCAGCTTCTTCACCTCCTCCTCATTTGTATGCATGTCATCCAACATTTGTTGGTATATTCCTTGCTGGTGTCCCCCTCTGTTCTGTCCCCCCAGAGGCCTTCCTGTCTCCACTGTAAATACTTCCTTAAATCTCATGTTGAGCTCCTCACATACCTCTTGATCGTTTCTTGTGAGTTCGCCACCTTCTTTCCTCAGCCTTATCACTTGGTCTTTGACTGTTGTCTTCCTCCTAATGTGGCTATACAGCAGTTTCGGGTCAGACTTGACTTTCGATGCTATGTCGTTCTCGTACTGTTGCTGGGCCTCCCTCCTTATCTGTGCATACTCGTTTCTGGCTCTTCTGCTAATCTCCTTATTTTCCTGGGTCCTTTGCCTCCTGTACCTTTTCCATTCTCTGGTGCACTTAGTTCTTGCCTCCCTACACCTTCGGGTAAACCAAAGACTCGCTTTGATCTTCCTATTATTTCTATTTCCCTTGGGAACAAACCTTTCCTCTGCCTCCTTGCACTTTGTTGTTACATATTCCATCATCTCGTTTAATGATTTTCCTACCAGTTCTCTGTCCCACTGAACCTCCTGCAGGAAGTTCCTCATCCCTGTGTAGTCCCCCCTTTCATAGTTTGGTTTTTCCCATTCAATTCCTGTTACCTTCTCCACTTGTAACTCTACTACATAATCAAACTCAGAACCACGTGATCGCTAGCTCCAAGGGACCTCTCGTAAGTGATGCCCTCAATGTCTGAACTGCTTAGTGTGTGTGTGTGTGTGTGTGTGTGTGTGTGTGTGTGTGTGTGTGTGTGTGTGTGTGTGTGTGTGTGTGTGTGTGTGTGTGTGTGTGTGTGTGTGTATGTGTGTGTAGTATGTGTGTGTGTGTGTGTGTGTGTGTGTGTGTGTTTGTGTGTGTGTGTGTGTGTGTGTGTGTGTGTGTGTGTGTGTGTATGGGTCATACATAGGTATTACATTCACGGGGAGTTCTAAACCCATAGGGATTATATTATATTATTATATTTTTGAGGGAAGCCCTTAACCCTTAGGAGTCATTCAGCTCGTGGAACAATGAAAGGCAATCTGACCCTATCAAAGCAGAAGGAAGATATGTCCATTTTATTATATCAAGAGCCCCTCACCGGCATCAAGGCGCCTCTCTAGAGGGGTCAATACACCTCTGGGTGTATCGTCACTGCCATGCTTGAGAGTTTGTTTGTTAGTCTCACATCCTTGGATGAAGAGCCCTTTACCGGCATCAAGGTATCTGAACCCTTTCGAAGAGAGGGGCAGGCTCTCAGACTACGCTTGCATATCCTTAGAAGACACTCTGAGACAGTACGTACTATGAGACACTCAGAACGTACTATGAGACACTCATAACATACTATGAGACACTCAGAACGTACTATGAAACACTCAGAACGTACTATGAGACACTCAGAACGTACTATGAGGCACTCAGAACACACGGCCTTGAAACCCTAAGAACACACTGGGAGATCCACAAAGCATTGTATTATAGAATCTGAACGAAATGAACATTTTTAACAGTTCAGAATTATATAATTCAATATCCATTAATTATAATGAAGGCCATACACCATACAGTCATTTTTAGGATTATTACTATTTCTGCTAAACAATTTTTTTCTTATATGAGAAATATTACTAACCACTTACTTTATACTTATATTTACCTTGTTAGATGCATTATAAAAACTTAACCTAATTATATATATTTTATTATATATCTATATATATATTTATATATATAGGTAAAAAATTCACACAACAGTCATGTACATCTGCTAAAAAAATCATATTTTTTGCTGTGTTTATCACTGCAGTTGACACACCTGTTAATTTCTGCATAAGAGATGCACAAGTTACAGTTGACACATTTCATTCATTTTTGAGTACTTCTGTCTCCTTTAATTACAATGGCAGGCAGTCTTCATTACCTCTGTACATACGTCCTAACAAACATCAGTATTCATATATGCATCCTAATTACAATATCTGTCGTCCTGTGGCACCTTAGTGTATAACTCACTAAGTGTCAGCACCTCTTTATAATGTATTTACAGTAACTGTTTTATGTAGTTCATTTATAAACTATTATAACATTTCCATACCTTTCTAATTCTCATTTACAGTATTTAGTAATCTTGAATACCTATTTACAAAAAATTAAGAGTACTTAATTTTTTTTTTCATTACCTTCAAATAAGATTGTTAAAAAAAGGTCATAACACCAACAACATCTAGTGCCAGTGTCTCACCACATCACCTGTAAACATTAATACCTCTATATTCTCTTAATTGCTACACCAGTCTGGCTTCAGTACCCGTTTGAGCTGTGACCCAGCAATACCTGTTGTCACTCTAACTGCTGCTCTGGTTTTCACACTTCAGATCAATGTACACTAAATATTACCGACTCTGTGCTTACCCCCCTCCCCACTACCCACTGTTTAGGTCCCTGGTATTACTTTTGATTTATAATTATTAAAATTATTTATGTCCTTCCTCCTGGTTTTGGAGGATATAAGAAAAAAACGAACTATAACCAGATAGTGTTAGCGTGATACTGTCATGGATATCCTCTACAAACAAGTTAAGACAGTATTGTGCGCATATGTCACTATCTATAGATGACCATAAAATGATCTCGTATGTAGTATGTACTCACTATAAAACAATGTGCAGAACACATCATTACAGGAAGCTTGGAAGGTTCTTTCTATACATTTTACCTTGTCTCTTTTCTGAGAAATTATTTAGCGCAAAATACTATTTTTTTTATGTACAGTATTTGATTATGATTCTATTTATTCATAAAGACATTATACTCTAGATAAAGTATTTTTTAACTAGTAATCATATAAATTATAATTATCATAACTAAGAAGAATATACACACAGATAATTTAAATATTTTCGAAATAGGCCAGGAATTAAAGATTCTACTTATGTGATATTACCTGACTTATTAAAGCTAATAATACCAACACTTGAACACAAAATAATGAGCTTATTATGCTGCTCAGCAAGAAAATAAAAAATAAATGCAAATTCTGCACTATTTTGTTTTGCAATTTTGAAATACTGTTTGCCCAACATAAAAGTGTGCTGCTGTTGGTTCTATACACATATGTATACAAACTTTGGGATGAGTCACTCAAACCAAGAAAATTGCCTAAAATTATTACCTCGAGAGAGAATGAAGACTAGATACATAGTTTTATTTCTCCGCTGAAAGTGAAGAACTGGAGAAAGTGGCCACCGTGGTGGCTTTTCTTACACATTACAATGTCCACGAGAAAGTCAGTGTCACAAGGGCAATAACAAACTTTCATGTGCATAACAACGTCCGGTATTTTTAAATTGCTTTGAACAATATCGTCTAAAAAGCACAAAATCAAAGTGATTCAAAGTAAGCGCATTTTATTCCCAAGATGTATGTACAACTGGACAATTAATCATTATGGCAGAAAAATGTCGCTAAATTCCAAGCAAACTTATGAACTAGGATACAACAGTAGCATAAGAAACAAGCATGCCAGCAGTCGCTGCTTCTTGTCTTTAGAACCGTGATGGGCGATGGAGAGTTGCAAGGTTAAATGATGAATGAGTGTTATTGACTTGATAGAGTTTTGTGCCTGCGATGTATGAGAGAGAAACAAGAGAAGCAAGGCAGATCACACTCCCAGGGCTGGCCAGGAGCTCAGGGAGGCTCGGTCAACTCGTCAAAGACTTTCCTTCGTCTCTGCCACCCTCTTTCTGTTAGGATACTGAGGAGTATTTTGTCCTCGTGTTCTCTGGGTGAAGAGCAATCCATCAGGGACTGGATATTCGTGTTTCCAGCCCTGGCACAGCTTGTTAACTAATTGGAGTGGAGTTGTAGTCTTCCTTATGGGAGGTACTGTCAAATAATATCCGACATCCAGCCCCGTGTTGCCTGTGGCTTCCTGAGAAGGGGCTGCCATTATTCCTGGCATCTCACCTGTGTGATGACTCTCACCTGTGTGATGAGTCTCACCTGTGTCTTCCCTCAGGAAGTTCTCGGGTTGAATGCCTCTCCTTTGGTCTTCGATGTTGGCTCTCGGCATGCCCAGTCGTTGAAAGGTAAGTTGTTCTCCTTCTTCTTGGTGGCATTTTGTCTTCTTCCATCGTCTTATGACGCTCTATTTCATCACGGTGGTCTTCTGAACGCATGTCAGTATCACAACCCTTTCCTCTATTATCACCACAGTAGGTCTGTAAGTGCATTTGCTCATAACTCTTGAAAGGTATTCTTTCCTCTCTTCTGTCTAGGGGCAAAGATTGCAATGGACCATAGCTCCTTTCTGCATCAGTTTTGCTTTGTTGATGAAGAGAATGAAGAAGAGGAAGAGGTGTTGTGCAGTACCCGCTTATAGACTCCACTGGTCCTGTTCTCTCTGTCACAGTATCAATGAGACGGTGACTCTTCGCTCTGTGTCTAGGGGTAATGTCTGTTTCTTCCGATCCTCTTCTGCGGTCTTGGCTAGTTTCCCTCTTTCTCCTTCTTGTGTATTTTGGGTAACCTACTCGATCTTCAGGTTTAGGGTAATGTATCCCTTCCTCCGAGGAATCTTGGCTCTTCCTGGCATCCAGATGATCTTGCGACCGTGACCTCTGCCGCTTTTTCCTTTTAGGGGTAGTTGACACATCACCCTTGACATTCATTAATCTCACCTCTTCCCCTTTTCTCTCTCTATTATTCATTCTTGAAAGCCTCTGTCTGTACATTTCACTCTTCTCCTCTCCTCGCCTACTCCCACCAGCAACAAGTCTGGCGTCACCGGCAGGAAGAGCGTGTTTCCTAGCATCGCAAAGCTCGATTGTGTCCCCTTCGACGTCACCCATAACGTTCTCCAGAGATCTCCTTTCCCACTTCTCGCTTGATACTTCCGGCTGGACTGCTCGCTCACGATGGGGCAGCTTAGAGAGCTGCCGGAGGAGGGCATCCCGCTGGGACTCTGCCTGACGAAGTCGGGCCCGTAGCTGTGTCTCAGAGTCCTGCCAGAGCTGCCACAGGTCAGCTTTGGTCACGTGACGCAGGTGGTCCGAGTTGACCCTCTCGCGACCTGCTGGTGAACAGAGAGATGGTTTGGTACACTCTTATGTTCTGAATTACATTACCATAACATGGCGAAAATAAATTATCAAAATATATTCCACATGCAACTCATCATAACTCATACGCATTTAGCGCATATCTTTGTTATAATGCTCCTACTACTAGATAATAATAATAATAATAATAATAATAATAATAATAATAATAATAATAATAATAATAATAATAATAATAATAATAATAATAATAATAATTTCTTATTATTTAAGACAATGCTTCTACAAATAATATTCTTTATCTAAAAAGTATTATTCATTACGTTGTTACTAACCATATTTTTTTTCACTTGTAGTTGCACTGTTCATGGCTTATGATATAGGAACTCCTTGCAAATTATAAAATTTGTGGGAAACAGTAAATTCGAAGGGGCTATACAGTGTCTTGGGGATAGAAGGCAGTCTGGTTTGATCAGAGGAAGGATTATGTTTTATTTTATTTACAAATTTCTAGAACTCTTGGATATTCAGCAATGAATAACCAAACTTTTAAAAATGCTCCATTTTTAACATTAAAATTTTTTACTATTATCATCACCTTGCTACTATCGTGACCACTTCACTTTCATATTACATAAATCACAGTTCACGAAGGTAGAAAACTATTCAAAGTATATTTTTCATAGTCTGCAATTCTTATCCATAATTCCTTCAGTGTCTTTGGCCATAAGTATCGGCAAATTTAGATTAAAGGGGAAATATCCTTACCATTTATGCGACAAAATGCTGGGTTCTAAGTCAAGAAAGTGAGTAGTTGGGAGAGAAGATGTCCCCTACATATAGGTACAAACCCTTGAAATGCCACTACGTTAAAGTGACCCAACACTGGGGGTAAAATATGATTCGAGGAAGGGAAGCATAAATTTATTTCCTTGAAGTAAGAGCCCTTCAGCAGTATTAAGACACAACCTTGAAGGGAAATGCTAAACCTTGCTTTTGATCTGAGAAATATATATCACATTGCAAAAAGCTTCATGTATGAGAGTGTGAACTTTTGTGCATGTATGTATGTGTGTAGAAGTACATATATACAGAGTATGTGCATGGTTACATACGTGGAAGCTCCTTTCAGTGTATTTATTTATACAGTATATACAATATATACAATAAGTGTACACAGTAAAAGTATATACAGTAAGATATTACAGTGGAACTGATTTTCTTTACGTACTACCGAATTCTATTGAAAAAAATAATAATTAAACCAATAATTAATACTGCTTTGTTAAAATATTGTTTTTGATATTAACAAATTCTTATAATTTACTATTAACATTACTACAATTAAAACAATTCACGTCAGACTGCTGCGGTACTCAAAGGTCACACATCACTTGGCAAATCAAAAACAGTCGCCACCCTCACACAGCTTTATGCAGTGCAGTTTCTCGTAAATGCGATTAAAAAAAAAAGAACGTGCATCGAAAAATTTATAACACATACTACGAAGGCCTTTTCACGGCTGTTTAAGTTTAGATTTACTTTTATATGCATCTGAGAAAAATGGCCATAATGACTCACTGTTATTGTAAGAATATTACACTCATTGGGAAGCATAAAACACGTAGCTGTCGTACAGCTCTAGGGAAATAGAAGATAATAAGACTTGGTCAGAGGAAGCGGAGGACAGCTCTAATTCCCTGGATCAAAATCCCTTCAACAGCATCAACTGAACCCTGTATAAAGGATATTTAAGCAGCAGGAGACGTACCAGGGGACAAGCAGCCACCAGCTGGAGAGACCCGGAGGACCTGAGAGCTGCCTGCTGGGAGAGTGGTACCAGACGAACTCCCTCATACCTCTCCTCCCCCGTCGCCCCTCCAGTAATGTCGTCTATGTCGTCCAGAGACCTGGTGCTCCACACAACATCGCCATGGGGGTCCGAGGGACGTATAATTCCTGGGGAAGGTACTACTGATGGCGATTTTGTAAGCCGAAGGACAGGTGACGGTAGCTGCAGGATGGGATTCGGCACACTTCCTCTGTGACGGAGACCGTTGGCAGTGCCAGCCATCACTGGGTAGGGGTCTCCTAAAGTACTTTCCCTCACACTAGACGCCGCACTGCAAGGAAAACAGCTGCCCTCGGCTGCCCTCCGGGCTTGTCTGGTGCTGTCCTGCCTCTGAAGGCAGTTAAGACAACCTCCCGAGGTTTTGCGGCTGTTATTCTCTCCTTCTTGAAGGGAGCACGAGCACGCCTCACACTCCCTCACGCTCCCCTCAGCCGCTGCTCTATATGCCTGAGTGTCTTCCAGCTGCTGTTGAGGCTGTTAGCTTCAAATACCTCTTCAGGATCACTGACTCTGAGTATAATGATCCCCGAGCTGTAGTCTTCTTCTCTAACCTCCTCCTCCCGGAGGAGATCTTTGGCCGCCTCCGGTTCCTGGGAGTCCAAGGGAAGGGAGCTGTTAACAACAATGATGCCCTCAGAGTCCTCGCGGGGGTCGGGGCCAGGGATGTAATCGATAGTAATAGGGGCGGGGGAGGCAGCAATGGTGCTAGAGAAAGGTGAGGGTGGAGCTGGGGTAACTTCTGGAACTTGGGAAGGGGTCGAGTCCCACTTCTTGGAGTCTCTGGTCACGGTGGTGGTAATTGTCATGGGCACCACGTCCTCCTTCTCCGCCTTTTGTACTCTGCCGAAGTAAACTGTAGTTAGCACGTATATATCTAACCAAACATCTGTCTACTCATCTAACTACTAACTCATTTAACTGTATTACCGGTATACTTCAAGGCAACTATCTGAATACTCATTTATGTATTTATCTACTGATACGATCTCCAGTCTTTTGATATAATAAACATGACTTATCTGTTATACTGACTACACTATTCTTTATGAATAACTAGAACATTTATGAAGCAAGTCTCATCTTAAACACATTTGTTTAAAGGGAATTAATACTGTAGAAAATCATGTTTGTAAATGTACTGGATTAAGCACATAAAGGAAATACACAATCATAGAAAAACCTTTCACTGTGACAAAGTCTCCCTCCGTGTCGAACTTTATCGGGTTAGAAATTGACTTGACATAGCTCTACACAGAGCGAAACTTTGACCCAATAAAACCTTGTTCTGTGCTTGTTCTTTTCGTTTTTGTCTGTGAAATATAATTTGCCGATAAAGTATATAAAATTGTAAATAATGAGATCTTACTGAAACTGTTATTTGACTGCTCACTTTTGAGAACAAATCAGCTAGACATTTTTTCAATCAAATATCGAGTATCTTGCCCCCTCAGCCGTAGATGTCGCGACACAGGATGTGCCCAGGATGCCAGAAATAAATGATAAGACAGGTAATAATAATAATCAATTATTATCACATGTATGTAAAACTGTAGACCTTTTGTGTAGGGTGGATGCTTGATCATCCGTCTGCTAATTGCGAGAACAAAGGTGGGAAGGTATTTCATCAGGATGGTGAGAAAAGGGTGATGGTTGCGGTCTCTCCAGGGTGAGAGAAAGAGAGAGAAGTATTCTGATGCCAGGGTCATCAGAAGCAAACTGTTAATAGATGATCATATGGCATTGCTTGCAATCATACATTTTTATGTGATGGGCTTCTGACACGATCTTCCTGCATTGCATCCCGTAAATACGTAATCAATCAGTGACTTGTCATTCGCCTCAAAGAGTGGTAGAGGCTTGATTCCCCGACCACTAATCGCGGCCCGGTCTCTGACCAACCAGGCTATTGGTTCCCTTGTATTTATGCAGATGTTATGTTGTCAGATCAAGATATTCTTGTCAAATAAAAATTTTTGCTGTGAAATGAAAGATTTTTTTTACCAGATTAATGCTCTTTTTTTATTAAATAAAAGATCTGCATATGAAACTCAAAATACTGATTGAGTCACAAAATACTGATGGCGACACGAGGTCTCTAATCAGGTCTGCTGGTGGATCAGGAACTTATGAACCAGGCTGTTACTGCTGGCCGCATGCGTCCAACGTAAGAACCACAGCCGGCTGATCTAGAACTGATTTGAGGAACCTTGATTACCTTACTCTTATTGTGTTCTCTCAGTATACTTACGGCGCCCCTGTTTTTCATTAAGGGATATTTTGCACCGTCTGCCAAGCCTCTTTGGTTTCGTAGGGAGTAATTTCTCTGTGCATATTTGGAACCATTTCCTCTAGGATTTTCCTAATGTAAATTAGGATGCCTTCATTCCAAGGAGTACAGGTCAAGAAACTTCAAACGTACAACAATATTCCAGCCTGAAGAAAACAAGTGAAATAAAGAGAACTATTACTAACTTGTCATCCCTTGTTTTAAAGGTTCTTGTTATTCATCCTATCATTTTCTTTGTGGTTGTGAAGGTAACACTGTTCTCATTTATGAAGAACAAACTCTGACATTATTCCTCCTAAGTACTTCGCATTAATTTTCCGTTCCATTGAGTGACTGAAATTAACTTTCGAATCAGTTCGAGTTTTTGTTTCCTCATATTTTCCAAGCGGAGTAACTGAAATTTGTCCTCACTGAACATCATTCTGTTTTCTGTCGCTCAGTGGGAGACTTGGTATATATCCGGTTAATGACTTACTGTGTCCTAAATAGATACCCTCTCATATATATTCTAGTATCGTCTCAAAGGATGATACGGTGATAAGATTGATGGCCCAATCTATGTCGGATATGAGCATGAGAAAAGTATGGGGGTGATTACTGTGTCTTGGGGAGCAGAGCTTTTCACTGTGGCAACCTCTGACTTAATACTGTTTACAATTACTCATTGCATTCTGTTTGTTAGAAAGTTTGCAAAGGTCTCCAAAAGGCAAGACAAAAGAAAGAATTTAGAGATTTTCCTCAGAGCTCTGTGAGATGATCCAGCTCTTTAGACAAGTCTGGCCAAAATGGATTCCCAGTTAAACGAAACATACTATAAGATTTATCAATATATAATGCTGAAAATACGAAAGAAATAGCAGAGAGACAAATTAACGTTTTACAATGAATTCCTTAATTATTATTATTATGATTATTATTGTTGTTGTAGGGGTCATACATCGCTTAGGGAGAGGGGTAACATTCACCTTCGATACTCCCTTGGCGGAGAATGGGTTCAATTCCTTTAATTCCTTTAATCAAGACTTTCCCCACTGGCATCAAGGCACTCCTCCCTTGAGGGTTGCAATGTCTCTACTTTATATAACAACAACCCTTTGCATTTTATTTTAGCTATAATTTAGGAGCGTGGAGAAAGCAATGATGAAACTTGGACCGCTGATCTTGCGATGCATAGACTAACAAGTCTTTTCCGATGTTGTCTGTCGTTCTCCGTTTTTTGTTCGATATTCGGGACATACTTTATGTGCAGCATAACCTGGATAATTTCGATGTCAAGTGAACCTGACCGAACGTAATCCTGCGTGTGTAGAGAAACTGGTAGAAAACTAAATTGATTAAACATCAACGTGACTTAAGAGGACAGGATATATGTGTAATACAAAACCGTACTGTTTGTAGTAGTAGCAGTAACAGTAGTAGTAGCAGTAACAGTAGTAGTAGCAGTAACAGTAGAAGTAGCAGAAACAGTAGTAGTAGCAGTAGCAGTAGTATACCTGGAGAGGGTATATTACTGCTACTACTACTATTACTACTACAAGTATTACGGCTTTGTATTACACATATATCCTGTTCTCTTAAGTAGTAGTAGTAGTAGTAATAGTAATGGTAGTAGAAGTAGTAGTAGATGCAGCAGCAGCAGCAGCAGCAGCAGCAGCAGCAGTAGTAGTAGTAGTAGTAGTAGTAGTAGTAGTAATAGTAGTAGTAGTAGTAGTAATAGTAGTGACATTTACAGATCACGTTAATCAGCGGTCACTCTGTGCTCATAGCCATAAAAAAATGTACATAAACAACACACAACAAAAACAAGGATAACAATTAACAAATAACAAAAGCCACTAACATAAACACTCAGTACAAATAATTACTTTCACACCATGTTAAAACAACCAAGATTAGTTAAAATCTTCATTAAATTATTAATGTCATAAAACATTCTGCTTATAGTAACGAGGATAAAACACAGGCATCAACATTTCTTTTGTGAGAACATTAACATCTGTGTTGAACTTTATCAAGCCACTGACTTGATAAAGCTTTACGTAGAGCGAAAAGTTTTCTTAATTAAAGGTTAGAATGTACATGTTTTTTTTTTCTTCATGAGGCTACTTATACACACAAAATGCTAATATTAATTCTTCTTGTAGGATTTTCTTTTTTTTTAGTGACACATAATATACAACACTTCAAATTTTAAAAGTATTTGTGTGCTAAACGTTGGAGGTACACACACACACACACACACACACACACACACACACACACACACACACACACACACACACAAACCTCGACCCCTGCAACCTCAACTAGGTGAGTACACACACACACACACTCACAATGGATCAGGGAATACTTGTCAGGAAGACAGCAGCGAGTAATGGTACGTGGCGAGGTGTCAGAGTGGGCACCTGTGACCAGCGGGGTCCCACAGGGGTCAGTCCTAGGACCAGTGCTGTTTCTGGTATTTGTGAACGACATGACGGAAGGAATAAACTCCGAGGTGTCCCTGTTTGCAGATGACGTGAAGTTGATGAGAAGAATTCACTCGATCGAAGACCAGGCAGAACTACAAAGGGATCTGGACAGGCTGCAGACCTGGTCCAGCAATTGGCTCCTGGAGTTCAATCCCACCAAGTGCAAAGTCATGAAGATTGGGGAAGGGCAAAGAAGACCGCAGACGGTGTACAGTCTAGGAGGTCAGAGACTACAAACATCACTCAAGGAAAAAGATCTTGGGGTGAGTATAACACCAGGCACATCTCCTGAAGCGCACATCAAACAAATAACTGCTGGAGCATATGGGCGCCTGGCAAACCTCAGAACAGCATTCCGACATCTTAATAAGGAATCGTTCAGGACCCTGTACACCGTGTACGTTAGGCCCATTTTGGAGTATGCGGCACCAGTTTGGAACCCACACCTAGCCAAGCATGTGAAGAAACTAGAGAAAGTGCAAAGGTTTGCAACAAGACTAGTCCCAGAGCTAAGAGGTATGTCCTACGAGGAGAGGTTAAGGGAAATCAACCTGACGACACTGGAGGACAGGAGAGATAGGGGGGACATGATAACGACTTACAAAATACTGAGAGGAATTGACAAGGTGGACAAAGACAGGATGTTCCAGAGACTGGACACAGCAACACGGGGACACAGTTGGAAGCTGAAGACACAGATGAATCAAAGGGATGTTAGGAAGTATTTCTTTAGCCACAGAGTAGTCAGGAAGTGGAATAGTTTAGGAAGCGATGTAGTGGAGGCAGGATCCATAAATAGCTTTAAGCAGAGGTACGATAAAGCTCATGGTTCAGGGAGAGTGACCTAGTAGCGACCAGTGAAGAGGCGGGGCCAGGAGCTTGGACTCGACCCCTGCAACCTCACCTAGGTGAGTACAACTAGGTGAGTACACACACGTACACAGTCCAGTATCTATCGCCCCGGCAACGGTAGCAAGCTCCAAATTTTCAGAGAACAGCGAGAATGGTTATCTTAAGAGAATGTTATGCAGGGAAGGGCACGAAGAACAAGAGAACAAGTGTTCTATGGTCAGTTTCTCACCTTCTAATCTCCTGGATCATCTCGAAGAACTGCGCTTTGCTTTTCCTCCTCCTCCTTTGCTCGTTCTCCTTCTGTCGAATAAATTACCCATTACAAAATAACACTATGTGAATGCAGTTATAAGTATAAGGTGGAAACATGCAAGATTATTATGAATATAAAAATATTATTACCGTTACTTAATTATTATTATTATTTAATATAAATATATTGTTACTGTTAATTATTATTGTTAATATAAATATATTATTACTGTTAATTATTATTAATTATATATTATGATTACTACTTAATGTAAGTATATTATTGCTGTTTATTATTATTATTATTATAAATATATTATTACTGTTAATTATTATTATTATTATTTAACATACATATATTATTATTGTTTATTATTATTATTATTATTATTATTATTATTATTATTATTATTATTATTATTATTATTATTATTATTATTATTATTATTATTACTATTTATTATATTTATGAGGATGCGCTAAATCCGTTAGGGCCACACAGGCCCTGGGGAGTGGGAGGTAATCAAGTTTGATTCAAAGATGACAACGGGTGTTCTCTAATCACTGGACTGAGAGCTCTTCTTTATGATTCAAGATCATTAAGGCGGTTCCTTGATGATGTTGAATCATCAAGGTACCGCCTTGATGATTCAAAATCGTCATAAAAAACACTGTTATATTATTCATGCTTATCGAGGATGGTACCTTGATGCTGCCTCGGATCAAGCCTAATGATTGCCTCCCGTTCCCCAGGCGCTGCATGACCCCTCCAGGTTTGTTACATCCTCAGTTTTTTTTTTTACCTCAGTGGTTGTCTTTCCACGAGGGAAGAACGACCCATTAAAGGATGAAACATTCACCATCACTCATACAACAGCTGCCTCGCCAGAAGTGAGCGGACATCACAAAGCAAATGGTCATACGAAATGCAAAATCCTTATCCGTCCTTCAGGGAACAGGTACCTCCAGGACTCAAGTCTAGCTAACCAGTTTCCCTGAATCCTTTCATAAATGTTACGTTATTTACACTATAGTAGTACCTAAAATCCCTTAAACCATTTATCTCCAATATAGTAAGAAAATGTTCTAGCCCCTGTTAGACATTCCATCCAGCCTTTTCTGGGACGACCTTTAGCCCTCCTTCTACTCCAGCTTTATGTAACTTTTTTCATGACCCTATTCTGCTCCATCTTCTCTAAATGCCCACGTCACCTCAACAATTCACCCTGTCTGCCCTCTCATTTTCTAATTTGTAAACTTTGAATTCTTAGCACAATGTTAACACCACACATTGCTTCAAACATGACGGCCTCACTGCCTACAGCTTCCTGCATCAATGTTTAAAGACTAGTTAATGCCTCCAGTGAAAAACCTCTTTCCCTCGACAGAAATCTTAACAATCCACCGACCTATTTCTCTTCTTTTAGTCTATGCGTTACCTAGTCTCTCATAGGTTCTTTTAACGATACGTTCATTCCCAAATATCTAAACACAATCACTTCTTTTATTCACTCTTAGATATGACATCCAATTTTTCATAGTTGAAACGTGTTGTTTAGGCTACGAAATATAATGAAAATATTAATAGCTTGATTTTTCATGCATTTTTTTACATAATTATTATTCAATATTTCATAATTCCTGCACTTAATTATCTGCGTAAATGAAAAGACTATTAGAAAATTCTAATTAAAAACATTATTATACCTTCAAGATTCTAAGGACCATAATATTATACAAATTTAATCGATTATGATTTGCATGCAAATTCAGGTGAGACGCCAGGTATCTCAGGCTAATGAGGATTATGAAATTTGTTAATCATTTATAGCCTGGAGAGGCGAAGCTAATTACCAGTGATATCTGGACGTGAGTGCAAGAGATGTACAGTGATTGCAGTTACTTCTGGACATGGATATAATGTGGTATAGAGCAATAAATAACTAAAAGAGGTTTGCGGATGCAATAACTAGTGACGAGAGTATATACACTGAGATGAGTGTGGCTGTCAGAGTATGTACACAGAGATGAGTGTGGCTGTCAGAGTATGTACACAGAGATGAGTGTGGCTGTCAGAGTATGCACACAGAGATGAGTGTGGCTGTCAGACTATGTACACAGAGATGAGTGTGGCTGTCAGAGTATGTACACAGAGATGAGTGTGGCTGTCAGAGTATGCACACAGAGATGAGTGTGGCTGTCAAAGTATGTACACAGAGATGAGTGTGCCTGTCAGAGTATGTACACAGAGATGAGTGTGGCTGTCAGAGTATGTACACAGAGATGAGTGTGGCTGTCAGAGTATGTACACAGAGATGAGTGTGGCTGTCAGAGTATGTACACAGAGATGAGTGTGGCTGTCAGAGTATGTACTCAGAGATGAGTGTGGCTGTCAGAGTATGTACACAGAGATGAGTGTTGCTGTCAGAGTATGTACACAGAGATGAGTGTGGCTGTCAGAGTATGCACACAGAGATAAGTGTGGCTGTCAGACTATGTACACAGAGATGAGTGTGGCTGTCAGAGTATGTACACAGAGATGAGTGTGGCTGTCAGAGTATGCACACAGAGATGAGTGTGGCTGTCAAAGTATGTACACAGAGATGAGTGTGGCTGTCAGAGTATGTACACAGAGATGAGTGTGGCTGTCAGAGTAAGCACACAGAGATGAGTGTGGCTGTCAAAGTATGTACACAGAGTGAGTGTGGTGTCAGAGTATGTACACAGAGATGATGTGGCTGTCAGAGTATGTACACAGAGATGAGTGTGGCTGTCAGAGTATGTACACAGAGATGAGTGTGGCTGTAGAGTATGTACACAGAGATGATGTGGCTGTCAGAGTAATGTACACAGAGATGAGTGTTGGCTGTCAGAGTATGCACACAGAGATGAGTGTGGCTGTCAGACTATTACACAGAGATGAGTGTGGCTGTCAGAGTATTACACAGAGATGAGTTGGCTGTCAGAAGTATGTACACGAGATGAGTGTGGCTGTCAGAGATGCACACAGATGAGTGTGGCTGTCAGAGTATGTGCACAGAGATAGTGGCTTCAAGTATGTACACAGGGAAGAGTGTGGCTGTCGTGTATTACCAGAGATGAGTGTGCGTCAGTGTATGTACACAGAGATGAGTGTGCTGCATTGTATGTACCAAGATGAAGTGTGGCTGTCAGTGTATGTACACAGAGATGAGTGTGGCTGTCCAGTGTATGTAACAGCGATGATGTGCTGTCAGTGATGTTACACAGAGATGAGTGGCTGTCTGTGTATGTACACAAGATGATGTGGCTGTCAGTGTAGTACACAGAGGTATATCATTCAATATGTTATTATATATATATATTATATTAAATATATATTATATATATTATATGTAATAAATTATTAAATACAAAAAGGGACAATACGTGACTGAACAATAAATCAAATACCGCATAAGACAGAGAAGAGAGAAAACTTACGACGACGTTTCGTCAATTGGACCATGTGGACTTTGTAAATGTCCAAGTCGGTCCGAAACGTCGTGTAAGTCTCCTCTATGTGCAGTATTTTGTAGAGTTTGATTTATTATATTCTCCCATTCTGAGGAATGGGTGGTAATAAAGGTCCTAAAGGAGAGGCCAATTCCGATTCCACAGATCAAGTACTCTTTATCGCCAATGAATTCTCCCACAGTGAAAACGTGAGCTAGCAAGGTTTTAAAACAAAGTTTTTGCTTATCCAGGTTATCCATCAAATCGTCTTTTAACATAATTACGTTGCTAAACCTAGTGAGGCTTTAGCCATTCTTCTGCTTCAGAAAATGTCAGCTGCAAACTTTGGAAATTGCTCTAAATTTTTCCATCCTTTACTAGACTGTAAAAATGTCCAAGAACTTACCATATGTCAAAAACTTTGGGAAAGCCTCTCATGCGTTTGTCAGACTTCTGAAAAGTCACAAGATCGTGGTATTTCCTGGACTTCCAGGAAACTGGTCGATATCCTAACATTTCACAAGCACTTGAACTCATCTTTTGCTAAATTAAACTTCTGGGTGAGGCCTTATAATAACATTATAAAATCAGATAAATTCTGAAACATGAGAAAATTATAGGAAAAAACATCGCTGAATTACCATCGTCAAGACCATTCCAAATACAAATCTCCCATGATCTTACAACAGTTGGGAAACTCCTAGGAAATATCTTACCCTTTTAACAGATTTTTGAAAGAGGCCCATGATCTGGCCTGTACGAAGATTGTTGACCAGTTCCTTGGCTGAGTGATGGGGGGATACAAGCTCCACGCAGTTGATGAACTTGTACAGCTTCTGTGAGACAACATTAACATTAATAAAGAGTAGAATAAAGAACACCGTCTCTGTAAAAATTCATCATTAACCCACAGTTTGGAAATATAATCTAGTTTATACTTCAGTCCGTCTCCTACCATTATCAAGTCGCATGAAATTAAATGATTTCTTTCTTGCTAATGGCTCAGGTCTAGTTTTCTATTTCAATTTCTGGATTAGAATTAAACAGCTTCAGAACAACATGACAGCAGAAGCATACTCACAACAGAACCTTCTATACAGCCACATCAAAAGGAAGATAACAATGAAGAACCAAGAAAGGAGAAGAGCTGAAAAGTAATGGACACGGAGGTCTATGAGGAAATAACAAGCCTTTAGGAAAGACGTGTGACACCTGAGAGAAGATATGGAACAGAGCACGGAGAGTGGACATCAATTTCAGGTATGGAAAAGAAGCTGTGAGTAAACTGCATATAATCAAAAGCATTATATCTTACAGAGATGTCTCCCTGGATTTTAAAAGAAGGAGCAGAGAAACTGTTAATCTCTAGCAAATATCTGTTCCATATTAATTGAGACGAGACATTCCAGAAATCTGAAAACAGGCAAATATCGCTTTAATAATAATAAAAAAGGTACAATTAACACGACTGAAGACAGGTAAAGACTACAAGAGTCCAAGTATAGACTGCAAGAATAATCAAAGAAGATTATTAAAAATTGATCAAGGAAGTGCCGCTAGGGCATTATAATCAGATCAGGAGAGAGAGATAACCAGATACGGAATAAAAATAGGGGACACAGGCCATAAGCCACAGAGAAGGGAAAACATTATTATAGATTAACCCACAGGAAGTACAAGATTATTAATACTAAGGCAGGAGAGAGACAACCGGATAAGGAGAAGAGACTGGTAAACAGAGGGGGATGTGAAATGTAAAGGTCACTAGGTAAAGAATTACGCCAATCATGTCACCCGAGGCACACATCAGCCTGATAATCATAGCTGCATATGCACATCTAGCAAACCAAAGAATCTTTCATAACACTATATATGACGTGTACCAAATGTAACATGCAAAATATAACTTGTGTAGCCCCGCCTCAGTGAAGCAAAACAAATAAATAAATAAATTTTACAATCTAACAGCCAAGGATGAGATGTGTACACAAATAACTCGCACATAGGAGAAAAGAAACATATGACGATGTTTCGGTCCGACTTGGACCATTAGCTAGTGGCAAAGAAGCGTCAGGGAAAGGAGCCAGTTTATATTGAGCCTACGAGATACAGAATATTTAAATTATTATTATTATTATTATTATTATTATTATTATTATTATTATTATTATTATTATTATTATTATTATTATTATTATTATTATTATTATTAAATATTATAACGATCTCGACGCTTCTTGTAGCATCATGTGATGGTAGTATTTTTAAACTGTACTATCTCATGATTTTTATAATTGGTGCCATATTTTGCGTCATATTTTTCTATTGTTATATATTTTCAGTTAATATATATTTGTTTTAGTTTTCCCATGGCGGTGTGTGTGTGTGGGCATGCAAGAAGGAAAGACTTGGGTATAATCACAAGCATCAGTCAAACTTCTTCGCTAAGAAACTCATCAAAACTTTCTCACTAAGAAACTGCATCACCTCTCCCTCTCGTAAATAAGGGAGAAACTTCTTGTCTAAAATACTTCTTCAACAATTCTCAATGAGAGAGAGGAAGAGAGAGAGAGAGAGAGAGAGAGAGAGAGAGAGAGAGAGAGAGAGAGAGAGAGAGAGAGAGAGAGAGAGAGAGAGAGAGAGAGAGAGAGAGAGAGATAGAGAGAGAGAGGAGACATATAGGGGAGCCACTATTGACCAGATTAACGTGGGGTTGTTGAAGAGATGGCCAACTTCTGCGGTGGAGACATCTGAGATTACTTTGCAGGGGCAATGACCAGAGGTGGATGAAAGGCAAGAACAGCAGTCGTTGACATCACTACATAACACAAGATGACCAGGACAGCAATACATGGAGAAGTGAACAGTTATACAGAGCCTGAAAGAAGCAGCAGAAACAATGAACAGAAAAGGAATTCTGACGAAGAGAAATTTTGATGATAAACTGGCTCAAGGAATCAAAAAAATGAAGAGGTAAATTCATGGAGGTAGTAATAGAAAACAATAGGAATCAAAATAGCGACGTTACAGCAAGATTGCGAGGAAAGGATGAACCAGCAAGACTGGATCTGGTCTTTTTAAAAGAAGTTTAATTATGTATCTAATGGCTAATGATGGAAACAGAAAAATGGGATAAAGCCAGTGAAGAGAGACTATTGCAAAGGTAGTTACACAGGAAATTAAATTCCTATCGTAGGTTAAGTCAGAAATAGGGAAGGAAGACAAGACAATGCACGAGATAATAATATGGTTACACAAGATAGGTGAGAACGGAATGCGAAAAACATAGAGCATATAGCTTCCAAAAATGCATAGTAATGCAAAGGTTAAGAGTAAAAGAGCATGGAAAACACTCAGAAAAAGGAGGACAGAGAAAAGCAGGAAATCATGCAGTAGAGCTATGACCAACTATGAAATGATAAGAAGGGAAACAGTGACAATTCGATATTTACATATGAGCGAAGGTCAAAGTAAAGCTGAAGATGATGCATATCCTCAACACTGGGAAGATGAGAGTAAAGCACTAGGTAATAAGATTAATAGGAGGAAGGAGGGTGAAATGACAACGAATGACCTGAAGTATCATGTTTGCGATAAGTTGAACAAAGGGATGAAAGAATTCTTAGCTGAATATTCGAAGAGAATCCCATGATGAGTAAGGAAGATATGGGGCGAATAACGAAGGCTAGAGGAAGCTACAATGAAAAAGGAAGAAATTAGAAGGTTCTTAAGCAAATTAGATACAGTGATATCAGAGGTACTAGACATTGTCAAATCCTTTGACAATGTGTATTGTCAAATCATTGCTGCATTGAACTGGAATGGTGGGAAATACTCTCTAACGGTTGTCGATACGTCTTATTTTAGCACTGAATGTTTTCTTTAGGGAAAATTTCAATACTGTTTTATCTTTGTGTGGATTATTAATGTAATACTTGAGGCATGGACCGTCTCTCCGTTGTCATAAGAGAGACACTGAAGCTGGTTTTGTTGAAGCATCACTGCCGCTTCTCTATGGATACTTCTGATGATTGCATTGGTAGTGAGGTGGTGTAAATTTACCATTCTTCTTATGGGCTCATTGGGATGTATCGAAGAACCATTTATCTCGTCAAAATAGTTAAAGGAACAAGGAAGTTGTTGACGAATTCTGTGACTGCAGTCTCTACGACAAACGGATTAACCATTATAACTGAACGCTGAGGTCTTACTAACGTGGAACCCCATCAGAACCAGACAGGGCCAATATAATCACTTTGTAAATATAGGATTCTTGCAGAAACAGTGAGGCTAAGTTATTGACGTTGGTGGGAGGAATACCAGTGCCACTGGTTTGCCCAGAGTGCTCACTCTTCTTTCATGGAGAAGAGCTAAACCCTTTATGGGTTATACAGCGCCAGGGAACCGGCAGATGGGTTAATCAGATTTGATCCAAGTGGAGGGTACCTCCAGATCCGTGAATAAAGAGCCCCTCACCCATATCAAGGCACCCCAGTATCTGGACTGAGGCTATCTGATTACCTGGTGATGATTCTGATTTGAAAACCCCAAAGTCAAAAGTATTTAGTGACTATTTCTCCTGTTCATTTACAAGTAGAGGCCAAATCATCAGAATGTCTCTTGCAATGTCATGTATCCCACCTCAATAACTGAGTAATTGTCTATGTAAGCAAGCTGTATCTTTGTATGTTAAATAAACATTAGGATACAAAATTTATTTTTAATGTTATTATTATTATTATTATTATTATTATTATTATTATTATTATTATTATTATTATTATTATTATTATTATTATTATTATTATTATTATTATTATTATTAATGCTCTAACAACAACAATAATACAACAACAACAACAATAACTACTACTACTACGACCACTACTATTACTACTACTACTACTACTACTACTACTACTATTAATACTACTACTATTACTAATAATAATAATGATAAGAACAACATTATTTGTTATTATTATTATTATTATTATTATTATTATTATTATTATTATTATTATTATTATTATTATTGTGAGAATTATTGTTAAATCAGGATAACACCAATAATGAATGAAACATCGACATACTTATAAATGACTTTCAGGATCTTTAACTAGGATTCTATCATGATAGTATATACCACACACGTAACGCTGCGTGGACTCTACGTTTACTCAAACACACAATAAACCTATAAAAGTTTTAGACGCTGCCACCACACTGTTCCCCTGATATCGGAATCTGAGTTATGAAGACAGACTTGAAGAACAACAATGAAACATTTAGTGCACAAAAGCAACTGAGAAGGTGGAGAGAACTGACCTGAGAATGTGAGATCAGTACTAGGTGGCAGAAACTAAATCTATACAAAAACATCAAACTTCTATATAAATAATTTTCTTTAAACACGAGAGTCCTGAGCAGGTTGAATGCGTGGAGTTAGCAAGGTCAATAATAAACAAGAGGAGAGGAAATAAGCTACATCAAGCAGAGTAACATACACGCAAGGCTACTAATATCACTTATTTTCTAAAAACACAACGTACCTGACTAAAGAACATGAGATTCCTGTTCCTCCAGATGGACTCCTTGGGTTTGGTCCTAAGAGACGGTAGAGCATAGCGGTATACCACGTGTTCAAGAATGAGGAGGAAGAAGCCTATACCTATGCCTAAGGTAAGCATGAGAAAGACGCCTCCCACCGTGCTGAACTCTAGAGCCTGGGGTTTGTAGATGTCAGCGGAGATGCGGAAGCAGGGCAGTTCGCCGTACCACTTATGCTTGAGGTGATCGAGGTGACCCGAAGCAAGGTACCGAGCAAGAATGGTGTTGATCTTCACCTGCCGGAAAGCAAGAGGTGTGTCAGAAAACATGAGAGGAGAAAAAGATTTATCAGCGTGAGGCTCGAGGAAGGCATTATTGGATGGAACGTTTGTTGATGAGGGAAGGGGAAAGATTTGGGGAATGGAGAGATGGAAAGACTGCTCTTAGGCATGGGAGAAGTGGGAGGGACGAGGGTTAGTGTGTCTGGAGTTGTATGAGAACAGTTAACAGTCTGGAAGTAATAGAAGGAATGCTGTGAGGATAATAATACTAAATGATTATTCATTAGGGATTTCTAATGTTATGTATATCCTAGCTATTTAAATACTGAAGGGTTACCAGAGGTTAAATGAATGTTCAGAGCACATCTACAATACACGTGTAAAGGATAAATAGTTTGCCAATTATGGCCCAATACGAGATGAGGGGAGAGGGTTAGAGTACATTGGTCAGAAGAAAGTTTTTTAGTGTTAGATACAATGGAGAAGCATAGCTAAGGAAGTTAGTTTGGGAGAATTATATCTGGTAGACGATTAAGGACCTGAGGACGGTGAGAAATTATTATATTTTATTCACAATGTTTGGTTCTTCAGCGCCATGGACATATTCCACTTCTAATATTATAAAACTGAAACTATCATTATTAATTTGTTACTATCGTGACCAATATACTTTCATATTATATAAATCATAATCCTAAAGAAAAGAAAACAATTCGAATTCCATTTTTCACATTAAGTAAGTCAAATCCAAAATCTGACACCGGCAGTATATGTCAGCAAATTTACAATGTCATCGGCAGTACGTGTCAGCAAATTTACAATGTCATCGGCAGTACGTGTCAGCAAATTTACAATGTCACCGGCAGTACGTGTCAGCAAATTTACAATGTCACCGGCAGTACGTGTCAGCAAATTTACAATAAAGGGAAAATTCCCCAACCATTTAAGCCGAAAAGTATTCTAGCTTCTTAGAGAAGCACCCTGTAAGGAGACTGGTTATCCTCCTTGAGAAAGACGTACCTACCTGAGGCAGAAACCACTCAAATATCACCACTACGTCAAGGAGACTCAGCGTCAGCGGTGGGGAAAGGAAGCGTTGGGAATATTGTAGGAAGGTATTGTATGGGGAGAAGCAGTACAGCAGTGAGCTTACAATGTACGAGTGTGGGATTGTGTTCACATCAGTAGGATGGAGGAAAATGGTATAAAATAAATACTGAGGTGATGCCATCCTTTATTGACAACGTTTCGACCAATGAGTGCACTTTATCAAGCCACAAACTACCCTACACAAGTTTGTACCTTTGTTAAGCCCACTGTGTGAGCGAAACGTTGTAAATAAAGGCCCGCATTATATTGTATTTGTGTCTCTTTCACATTAGATGAGTCTGTGACATTCACAGATTCTCTCAAAATACTTTGATCATAACTTGTGTTAAGAAACAAATCCTCTTGAAACTATGTTAATTTTAATCAGTGAACGAGGAAGTTAACTGCCAATTTATTATAATAATTATTATTGTTTTTTCTCTAAAAAAAAAAAAGAAAACTAAACTTGTAGGAGACATACAACAATTGGGTAACTTGAGGTAATCAAATCTGATCCGAAGAATGGGACGGTGGCTCAAATTCCTTAGATCAAGAGCCTTTCACCAGCATTAAGTCATCTCCCTCTTGTTGTATGACATCAAGTTTTTTCGGTGTTTTTTCATGAAAGAAATTTTGGAAAACAAACTGCACAAGCCATAGCGAGTGATAAGAGCATTTAAGTGAACGTTCTCTAAGACTGAAAAATATCCCTAGCCAGACATGTGGGGGAATATTTTTATTATTCATAATTGAATATATTTATGCATCCTACCACATCCTGGTCTAACCTAACATTATCTAACTTGCAAAAAGAAAATAATATTACTATATTGGTATCTTTACGCTAAAGAATTACTTAAAAAAAAAATAACGTGGTCAAATGAGAATAGGCCGTCAAAGTCTTATAACAAGCCTCCCACTTAATGAGAAGATAACAACACTATTTGACAGTCTAGCTAGGTCATTAGCAGGAAGGTGGTGGTCATGGCCTGATCTGGGGTTGTAGGAAGCCTCACCGATACCACATGCATCATTTTAGGTATTAAAGGAAATCATGGAGAACGAAAGGAGAACAACCAGACAAGAAGAGAGAGGCAGGAGAGCAGGAGGAAAAGAGGATAGGAGGCGCGCTAGACACATTTGCATAAGACACCCTGAAGAGGACGAATGTGAATACTTGCTTTTTCTGTTCACTGTTTGCTTACACTGTGTAAATATTTAAATATGTCTAACTATTTTGTAAAAACCTTAACAGCTCATGAAGTAACTATATATATATATATATATATATATATTATATATATAATATATATATATATATATATATATATAATATATATATATATATTATATATATATATATATATATATATATATATATATATATTTCAACAAGTCGGCCGTCTCCCACCGAGGCAGGGTGACCCAACAAAAGAAAGAAAATCCCCAAAAAAGAAAATACTTTCATCATCATTCAACACTTTCACCACACTCACACATTATCACTGTTTTTGCAGAGGTGCTCAGAATACAGCAGTTTAGAAGCATACACATATAAAGATACACAACATATCCCTCCAAACTGCCAATATCCCAAACCCCTCCTTTAAAGTGCAGGCATTGTACTTCCCATTTCCAGGACTCAAGTCCGACTATATGAAAATAATCGGTTTCCCTGAATCCCTTCACTAAATATTACCCTGCTCACACTCCAACAGATCGTCAGGTCCCAAGTACCATTCGTCTCCATTCACTCCTATCTAACACGCTCACGCACGCTTGCTGGAAGTCCAAGCCCCTCGCCCACAAAACCTCCTTTACCCCCTCTCCCCTCTCTCCCCTTTATAGGTAGTAGGTTGGTAGACAGCAACCACCCAGGGAGGTACTACCGTCCTGCCAAGTGAGTGTAAAACGAAAGCCTGTAATTGTTTTACATGATGGTAGGATTGCTGGTGTCTTTTGTCTGTCTCATAAATATGCAAGATTACAGGTATGTCTTGCTACTTCTACTTACACTTAGGTCACACTACACATACATGTACACGCTTATTTATACACACTCATCTGAGTTTTCTTTGATTTTATCTTAATAGTTCTTGGTCTTATTACTTTTCCTTTTATATCCATGGGGAAGTGGAATAAGAATCTTTCCTCCGTAAGCCATGCGTGTTGTAAAAGTCAACTAAAATGCCGGGAACAATGGGCTAGTAACCCCTTTTCCTGTAAAGATTACTAAAAAGAATAAGAATATATTTTATATATATATATATACATATATATATATATATATATATATATATATATATATATATATAATATATATATATATATATATATATAATATATATATATATATATATATATATATATATATATATATAATAATCATGTGTGTGTATGAGTGTGTGCAATTCTGCGGGAAATTGTAAAGCGATTTTTTAAGGTCATTTGCATGATACTGGCAAAAGCAATTTCCTCCACCCAAAAACTAGAAAAAACACCATAAATGAGAAAATTTCTATAACTGGTTGAAAACAAAGACTTTTGTAAAATAACTTAGTCTTCTAGATTAAGTAATAACTGATGGGAACAACAGAGGATCGAATCCTCTCAGTTCCATGAGTTATTTATAATCGTGTTATTATGATTTCGTGATTCAAGTAAAGTGAGATTGGTCAATGTCCACTAAATTAACAATCAATAGTGCTAACTTCTTGAATACACTGGTGAATAACTTCTGAATACACTTGAACATATTGGTGAATATTTTTTCTCGCCGTCTCGTCCCCTAAAAGATTTCTACGATAACTTTTTCACTGGATCTACAAGACATCAGATTGTTTCAAGCGATACATGCAGAGTTTGATGACTGTTAGTTACAGGTGATACGAGCTGTGAGTTTAGGGAATGTTGGGCAGAGGGAAATACTTACTGTGTGTTTAGGGAATGCTAGTCTTCGGGGATACGAACTTTAAGTTCAGTAAATATTGGTCTTAGGGGATATGAGGTGTAAGTTTAGGGAATGCTTATATCAGGGGATACGAAAGTTGAATTTAAGGCATGTTGATCTCAAGGGTACGAGCTGTGAATTTTGCAAGTGATCACTAATTCGTTGTCACTCCACTGTCTACAAATTAAGTCACCATTCACAATAAATATTAAAGTCAAGGGGAAACACTGAAATTGACGGGCTTAAAGGGCGTTTGGAGAATGGCAGAATATCATGTTTGATTGCGGAGGACATGGGTAGCTCCAGTTCCATAGACGAAGAGCCCTTCACAAGCGTCAACACAACCCCCGCTTCTTCCCCTTCAACTTGTTTAACGAAGAGCTAGATCCGTAGGGATCATACAACGCCTGGGGAATGGGAGGTGATCACGTTTGACCCAAGAAAGGGGAAGGGTAGCTTAAATTCTTTGTACAGTGCTAGCAACTCTTCACCAGCATCAAGGGATTCCCGTAAAGAGGAAATAAAGCAAAAAGCAGCAAGAGTGTCCCACACTCAGAATGCTTTTCCAAGCTGTTTTTATCTTTGCCATCTTCCGTCCTTCCTCTCCTCCCCTCTTACAGGAACAGTAGCACGAGTGGGAGCTGGGGGAGACAGAGCAATGCGGGGGAGGGGGAAGAAAAACATGTTTTGGTCTTGTTCTATACTCGAGCGAGCCATTAACTGGAAAAACGAGGCCACATTTCTCCTAAACATTGGCGTGACGTGTCCTCTCTCTGGTGCAAATGGTCAGTGGCGTTTAAGGACAGCCCAGCGACGCATTTCTTGCTTCCAGAACGTGTTGGACAAGCTAACAACTCGCTTTCGATTTTTCCTCTCTCTTTTTTTTAATGCATTTGTGAACTTACCTTCCTTAACTTACAAGTGTTGATCTCCAGCTCTAGGACCTCTTTTTAAGTTTCGGCTGGCTGAGGTCCTC